AACGAGCCGAAAATACCATAAATAATTGCCGATAATGATTTTACTTATTTTACATATTAAATAACTTTTAATTGTTTATGATGATTATGTTACTTGAATACAGCAATGCACGAAAAAACTACTTTCCTGAGGGAAGGCATGCCCTCAGGAAAACTTTCAGAGTGAAACTAGCTCGTATTCATATTATGTATGGGGAAAACGCAGAAGACCAGCAAGCCAGCCTATTCTTCTGGCACCACACCCGGTTCAAGTTGCCAGTATTCAATTGTTGTTTTCGATTTGATTCCGTTAACTGATTAAAAAAAACATACGAGTATTATCTGCTCAAAAGAAAGGATGTTTTCGAGGATGACTATCAGCTGATATCTGTGCAACATAAGGGCAAAAATGAAACTACTCATGTAGCTAGGATTTGACCAGGATTTGGCACGAAGAGCTAGTGTCGGGCGATTTTACTTCAACACACTACTTCCGGCCAGAACGTAGTTTTGGAATCTTTCTGAATACTTAATGAGGAGGAGCGGTATTTAAACCGCGAGAGAAACAGAGTTTCTGATTTACGTGCGTCTGCCTTTTCGCTACTCTCTCTTTCAAAGCTGTTATTACGCTCAGCCGTACTCAGGCCCTTGATAAGCTTCGTAGTCAAATAAAGTTAAGGGGCCAACTCGCTTAGAACCTTGATAGCTTCGGCTATATTTCTTTAGTTAATCTTAGTTTCAGTTTAATTCTTAGTCTCTTAAGTTCAAGCCCAAGTGTCGGCTTTGTTTGTACACTTCCAGGTGGAGTTTTGTTAAATCTTATTGGAATAATAAAGGATTAGTTATCCTTCCTTCTTGTTTCTTGTCGCACGAACAAAAACTATGCAACTCGCTCAATGGTAAACTTCATGCCAAAAAACAGACAAAGCAAATTTGATGCGAAGAATAAAGCAAGAATCTGATAATGCGATATACTTCATTTTCAGATATCTTTTTTTATTTTGATACCATTTCAATCTATTTTAATGCATCATGACTGCTGAAACAATCTCCAGACAACCATTATAATACTATAATAGTAATTTATTGTTATTAGAAGAAACTTTACTAAATAATTTCTTCTTACTATTGAAGTATAATTTAACATTCTCAAATGTAATGATTCAAGGTCTTCATTTAATTTTACACGTTCACATCATAGTATATTCACACTCAAGAAGTAATTCAGTATTGTGGAAGTTTCATACGTCTTGTTGTGGCTTAGAAAAAAAAAAACATCGTGACTACAACCGAATTACTCGTGTTAATAATTTGTACACTTTTCGCGAAACTCCTGTTAACAAGTTGTGCACTTTCCTTCCTATATTTCCAATATCTGATTTTTCTTGCCACACTTTGTGAAATTTTTCGTGACCTTAACTAAGCGTGCGATAATATATGCATTATATTATTATTTACATTCTAATAAAACTATATCGATGTTATTTTCTATTTCAAATATTTTTTCAGCTCTAAGTTTTTAAGAGAATAAAATTAAGGGTAGACTTCTCTAATTTTATATTTAGTCCAAAGGGGCTTTGTCCCTGAGGGATTATTGTTTTTGTTTTGCGATTTTGCGTCGAATCACTCTGAATGTCCATTTTATTTTTCAAACTGTTGCCATCAAATATTATCGCCCTGTATTATATTTACTGCGAATATGGGCATCTGGACGTTCAAATTTGAAATTTTTTTATTATCGATTTCATATTTTGTAAAACTTAACTGTAACGAATTTGGTAACTGTAACGAATTTTTGATTAACAAACTCAAGGATTTCAAAGCGAGCAATAGTAACGTTGTCCAGAAAAAACATTTTTATCTCCAACGCGTGGGATTGTGCATCGGAAATTCTAAATATATGCTCAATTTAAAATTATTTTGCTATTTTGCTCTTGAACTGAATTTTATGGTTTCAGTGCGAAGAACATGATATTTAATAAATAAAGGTAATACATAAAATGTTAAAAAAATGCTCCTTTGAGCGTAATTTAAAATCTGAAACCTTTCAGATTTATACTTATTTATTATTATTATTATTATTATCTGCACAGCCCGCCTTGGCTACAGTCTGTTACCTTAAAATAGGCACTTCTAAGTCGTAGCAATCCTCCACTAATTTCCGATCGTAACGCGTGTCCGCAGCATTGCACACAGAAAATTAGAGGATTCAATCTTTTTTTTCCTTAGCAGTAGTTACGATAGTTATGTTGCTTAGTTTTAGGAGGCAGGAAATGGTCTTAAAATGACTGTTCTGAAGTTATTTGATATAACGCTGCGTGACCACCACATTTAAAACTCATAATATCATACGAATATGAAGGTATCAGATTATCACATACATTTGTATATTAAACTGATAGACAATATAATTACAATTTTGATCTTATCTATGCAATTTAATTAGTTCAAATTTATACACTGCTGGCCATTAAAACTGCTTCACCAGAGAGGAAACAACTGCTACACCAAAAATTGCAGAATCATATTTATTGTACATATACTGTATAATGGAAGGAAGAAATGATTAAATTTTCAGGTGTTTTAGGGTATATAGAATGCAGAATTCAGTGCATGGAGTTCCCACCTATGGCAACAACAGCTGATGTAGTCTAGCTGAGCATCGTGTCGAAACTCAAATACGGGTTTTTCAAATAATATTATTGAATAACAAATACGGGTATTTCATTCCAATCCAGATTTTATCAATCGTGTAGTGGCTGGCGAGTGGTGGCCTCCCAATCTCTCGGAACCCCATGAACAGATATTCTCAAGAGGTGAGTGATCTGGAGAGCTACCGTGGCTTCTACATTATTGGCTGTGCGAACAAGAGGTCACCGGTATGTGTACCTAATGGCACTCCATAGCAGCCGCCAGGTGCTAAGCACATATGACAATGACAAATGCAAGCTGACAACGTTCGTTCTCTTCGGTGTCTCCACACTTGGATATTTCCATCATGATGCTGGATGTAGAAAAGGGATTGGATTGAAAAGACGATGCGGTGCCACTTCTGTGTCCAGTGAAGTCATTCGTGGTATCACTGTTAGGCGCACCTGTCTCTGTTGCAGCTTCAACGGACTCGAAACAGTGGTTGCCGCGCTGAAAATCCGTGGTGTTTCAGCAGTCGTCGCTCTCTCTATGGGGACACTTGTCCTGCACATTCGAGATCATGACACATGGTGGCACGATCTGTACAATCTATGTACTGTACGATCTCGTACTGAACCCTTTCAGAATTTTAAAATATTTTTATAAGCTTTCCATTCTAAGCTTTCCATTCTTTTTCTTAAGTTTTCTTAATAAAGTGATAGTTGCTACGAAATCCTGTAACATAATTTAATATTTTCTGATCTGAAACAAGCGGAATAAATCTCTTTTCCCATAAAGCTTGCACTCGTTTTTTTAAATCCTTGTAAGGATGATTGGTCAAAATTACTTTGAGGTTTCGCAAGTCGTCTAATAACTAGAAAAACGGACGATTTTCGACCTGAGAAGCAAGTAGATGACTTTTAATGCTATATATTACTTCATTCAACCGAAAAACGTCGTTTCCAAATACGTTGCACTGTAAAACAACGCAGCTTTTCTCGGATAGTATGCGTAGAACAATTTTTGTCCCCCATACAAAAGCATGTACTTAATCGTCTTCCCTGTTCACCAGATTTATCATTCGAAGACTACTTTCTCTTAAGCTAAAATTTTATTCCAAGGAAACTTTTTTCTGAATATTTGATACTGACGAAATTTAATGGTAATCTTCTCCCAAAGCCATACTATAAATAGACCTTACAGAATTTTCCTTTCGTTATTTACTCGTTTTTCTACTTGAATTAAGACAGAAGGTTGTGATTTCGAGTAACATACATCGGTATAAGTTCTATGATATTCATTCAAAAACAGTTTCATTATTTAATTACCAACTTGTAACATAGTATACGATCATAAGAACTTATTCTTCTTTGCTCTCCATTTTCATTTTGCATATTTTTGTTTTGTTAAATGCCTTCTGAAGTTACAAGTAGTTTTATCAAAAATGTTATACATTTTTAAGGCATTGTTTTACGTTAGGGTACAATTTTCATCCACGCTTTAAATTGCTATTACACGAAACATAAAAAAATACTTTATTAGAGTCTGAACAGAATTTTAAAAATGTATGAAGAAACTTACATTCTATTCGTTACTCAAAAGCTTCATCTCAATAATTAGATTTTTATTTATAATGCAACGACACCATACACAAGAAGTAGAATTCGAAATTAAAAATACTTTATTTATAACATTCATGGTGTAAAATAACTCGTACTGCAAAATGTTGTTAAAAAGTCCACATAAAACGACTTTAAATAACACACAGAAATAAAAACGGCAGATAATATAAAGCTAAATTTAGCATTACATTTTTTAAGATATCAAAAATAAATTAAATTATTTGTCTCCATTGGCAATAACGTCTGTTACGTAAGACAAGATTCCTTCGAAACTGAAAGTAATTATGCCTCTTCACTATATTAGTAAGAAAACGGGAGAATTCCCGAAAATTTCTATTTCTGTGGTAAAAAAAAAAAAAAAAAATAAAAAAATAAAAAAAAAAAAAAACCTTAATTATAAGAAATTTCCAGTTTTTAATTTTAAATCTTATGGAATACGTAATAAAGTAAAATAACTTTGTTTTAACGGCTGTCTTCCGTGAAATGAAAATAAAAAGTTACAAACGTGCTTTTCCTGTTTTAAATGTAATACAGAGCAAAAACAATAAATGTGTATAGGTTTCATAAGAAGGCAGCTGAAAAATACGTGTTTAACATATGGCAAACGGGGATTTCTGGAATACTGATGAGAAGAATGATGATCATTTCAAAAGCGTCATTAAAGACAACCTATCTCGAGCAGGTGGATATAAAATGCAGCTGTCTTGAAACACGCGAAGCTTACTTATGCCCCTAAAAACTTTTAAATGCAACTCTTTCAGTATTAATATTAAACTTTCCAACGCATTCGTATTCTTTGCAGCAACTATTTATTAGATTCGCTTACTTTCATAATCGCCTTTGGAATTGAGAAAGTTTAAATTGCCGCAGTCTAATACGCCTAACACTAGATTTGGCGATATGGCGTAATTAACTGTCTCTTTTAAGGCCGCTTTTGTCGAGCCAACTCGCCAACTTGTCATGGCAACCCTTCGATGTTGATCATCCCGAACAGCTGTCTCTCTCTGTTCGGTTTCATTTCGGTGAGCGAATGTCTGTCTGCTTGCTGCATCCAACGATTCTGGTTCGGCCGTTTTTTTTGCAGTTTGACCAACAAGAGGATAACATCATTGGCGGGAACTATCCCTGACCTACAGATGTAGAAAAGAGATTTCAAGTGGTCACCGCCAGTTCTTCCTTTTTTTTTTTATTTTTATTTTTTATTTATTTATTTTTTTATGAGTTGTTTTCATTAGTTGAAGAAGAAACTGTAAAGACAGTAAATTCCATCTGGCAGAGTGCAGATAATCAGGAGTGTGTGTTCTTCAGTCCTTTCCATAATTCATATCAAGAATTTTCTACTGATATGTCAGTCTAAAATTCGTATCGTTTCAATCACCCATATCGTTTTATTATCGTGTTTTGTCATCATCATGGAAGAACATGAACCATCATTTGCTACAGCTGAAGAAACGATAGAGTATTACAAGAATCTGGCTGTAGAATATAAAAAGAAGTGAGTACAAAGATTATTATTGTTTGTTCTACCATCGCAATAAATCCTATTTGTTATTTTATTCAAAGTAGGGAGGCAGATTGCTTTGATTTTGTCTTAAATTTGCGTTACATTCTGAAGTCTTTATCTCAGCATACGGACGGCAAGAAAATGTAATAAAACGATCTTTCTTTTCCGAACTGCAGATTTCATTTTGTACACTTTTTAAAATAAATTTTAAATTAATAATTTTCTTAACCAGCAAAACTTATTATTCTCAAATGGTAAAAGCTTCATGCTTTATTTTAAAGCTAAATAATGCTTTAAAAACTTTACATTGGATTTAATTCTATTATCGCCTTTCTCCTATGACTTTTTATTTATATGTGCGTTTTTTAATGTTTGGAATCTATTTAATTTTATTAAAAGATATTCTATTAATGAAATACTCAAATACAAAGGCATGTTTTAACATAATATTTTTAGACACAAATAATAGTAAACTTTAAAAACTATTTGATCCGTTGATTCTTTATTTATAAGAATATGACTAGTTTTGGATAATGAAAGCTACATACTGAGAGAACTGAATTTCCAGTTTAGCGATTATTAAATACAGCATAGATACTCAAAAGGGCATTATAATAATGATATGAAATTTAACTGTGTGTATTTATTAATTATGTATTTTGACTAAGAATTTCGAAAATTTATGTCCTGAGAATAGCCTCAGAAATTCAGAGATCTAATTCCTTAATATTATAGAAATAAATTATTTATAACTCTTCTTTGACATGAATATTAATCTAGTCAAATGATAATTAATAAATGGAATGTTTTATTGAAAATGTAATATTTTCTTTAACAGTTAACAACATATTTGTTAATTAAAACAATTCTACCTCGTGTTCAAAATTCTTCTGTTTCATTTGCGCTTTAATAAATGCAGTAGAAGATCTATGAATTTTTATCTGTGGTAATTTTCAGGAATAAATGTGTGGTGTTATAACGTTGCTTTATGCACCGCGGTTTTAGATGTTGGTCGAAATGAAATCTTAGTGAAATTTTATATAAAATAACGGGATACCGACATACCACGCTTAGTAACATATTATTCTGAAAGAAATTTTATGTTCTTGAATTTGAAGTCAATGAGCAAGCATATGTAGGAAAGACCTCATCAAACTGAACAGATTTTGGAAGCTGATGATACGTTGACGCAGTGGCTTTGAACATTATTAGATTATAAATTGCATTATAACTGCATAATTATTAGCAAACAAGTGCTGACCTTCATACATATACAAGTGACTGCTGAAATTTCAGGAAATATTTCGAAGTTATCCTTGTAGCTAAATCTTTCTAAATTCTTGGCTTTTCCGTCATGTTAAGCTACGTTACTGTGGCTTTGTGATCTGTGAGGCCTGGTAGGTGTTGCTAGTCTAAGAAAACTTGGGTCGAACTACCCGCGTTCAGTGGTTTTATGCGTTTAGCTACTGATCGACGTCTTCATGAAAAATTTTCTAATGGAGCTTGGCTCATATTGAAGTTACACCGTGGGAGCGATAACAACACCATGCAGCCAACCATTCACAGAGATTTGATTATTTAAGAGTCCTACCCGTAGGTGGTCGTATTCTATCTCCTTCAGCTGTCTTAGGCCATAGTCGAGCCTAAGAATATATCTAATTTGTATTACATTTAATTGTTATAATTTATATTACGTTTATAATTTTAATTTAAATTTGCACCAATATTTTCCAAAAGGAAAATATTTATAATGTCTTATCTTGCTTTTCGGCACAGAATACGGTTTTTATTTACTTTTTAAGTACCTATCTAAACACATGGATGAATTTTTATTTACATACACATATATCATCATATGTATTTATGCTTTATGTGTTGCATACTGTATATTTTATGTTCAGAATTTTTGCTGTATAGTTCGTTGACAGAAATCAATAAAAATGGTTTCTGAAGTTCATCGTTAAGTACATATGAACATTATTTGTGCATTTTATATATAAAAGATTTAGACTTTTATAATTGGAAAGCCTTACGTTTTATTTTAATGCCTTCGTTTTCACCACTTTTCGTATACCGCATGTATAGTACAATTTCTAGCTCTTGTATCAATTGCGTATAATAATGAAGAAGCTTTGCATATTTAATTTTTAGCTTTAATCGTTTACTTGCAAAAAGCAGTTAACGTTTAAATTTTGTTATTTTTTTTATTATTATTATTCTATTCAGTTATCACCTAGTTAAGAAAAATATAAATATTTATTTAGCGGTGGAAATGTTATGCATTTGTTTTTAGCACGCTCCCAATAAGACTGGTGTCTCATTCACTCCTGCGCTTTAGCTAATTCATTCATTTACACTGTAATAATCAATAATTTAAACCTTTGGAATGGAATCAAGTAACTACGAGGAAATGTTTTTATTCACCTAGTCATTTTTAGTTTCACTTCTTTCCATGTTAGATCATTATAAAGACTTTTAAAAAGATCGAAATTTTTTTAAGATATGTACTCAGAAGTAGACTTTAAAAAATTATTAAAATCATTGTTTTTATTAACGTTTGTCTTTTAGCCAGTAAAGAGCTAACATTTGATGACAGTAAAAGCTGGTGGAGTTTCTTTTTAGTTTTATATTATTTATTTTTGTCTTTATGTATGCAAAAACGTAAATATAAATAATAAACAATGTACGGAACAAACACTATGGAATTACGTAGGCAGATAAATAAAAAAATTGAATCTGTATAAATTAGAAATTAATGAAATTAAATGCAAACATTTCTTATAAACCATTAATAGAATTTTCGGTAGAAGTTCGAACAAAATCCAAAGTTACAAATGTTCATACCTATTCTTTTTATTAATTATTATATCGCACATCATCTATAATAACATAAGAATCAAAAAGGGCTTATTTTTCAGTTAAAAAAGGGGGAAAGAAATAAAAGTTAAGATTTTATAAATTTTAGAACCAGGCAACTCGCTGATATAAGAAACTTGTTCGATGAAAAAGTGACCCGCGGTGTTCAGTTTCATGTGGAAAAATTTGAAACTCATTTAGACTTCTTACCAAGCCCCTAGTGACAACATTTAAGGGGCCTTTGAATTGTTTATCACCCATGTCAAATAATGAAATGCGATTTTTATTTTGATTTGTGAATGTTTTAAATTGAATTATGTCGCTGCTCTCGACTGATCTTACTAAAAAATATTGTATTGGAGCCATTTAAGACAATCAAAAGATGTGTAGGTGTATCAAAAGATTGACAGGAACCTCACAGCGTGAACTCTTAAATATCATCCTTCGTGACTGATTTGATCCAAATCTGATTCAAAGCGGTTATGACAAGCTTTTACAATTACAGAGTGACATTCCTGTAGTTGGAAGAACCACCGCTAGAGAGCAGAAGTGTCGTCAGTGGCAATGGGTCACTTTCCAATGCAATCGGACTTAACTGTTATTTACATACAACTATTGCATTGTTTTCGCTTTACAGGTCATACGTAAAAATTAATATCTGTCTGAATGGACTACCAGTTAGAATTAAAGAGAGCCATATAGCATTTACAAATGAACACATTAGCAGGTTCATGGTATTTATAACTGAAAACGGAAAAAAATTAAAACTAAAAGATTCCGTGCTGAAACAATATGTATAAATTTATGAATAAAAAACTGATGCAATTGTCCAATACCCCTTTTCAATCCTGAAGCCAAGATCTCAGAAAACGAAATTCATCATGATAAATGCATTCGAGGGTCCGAAGTCAGATTATGCTTAAAACCGACAGAATTTTATTAAAAATGTTCGCCATTCTGAAGGTTCCTTTATCGCTTAATTTAAACTTTTACACTGGGATGTTTCTGTTTTAATTACAATTACCTTTGTTAATTGCTACACTGTGTATATAATATTAAAAAAATATTTGAAAAAAAAAAGGAAAAAAAGGCAGAAATTTTGCCATATTGATTGATCATCGTGGTAATAGGAGGGTATCATATACTTAGCGATTCGGGTTTTATGTTTCCATTGCAACATTATTAAGAAATATAATGTGATTGCAGCTTGAAGATAGCTTTCAATGTGATATTTTTTTGCGTTAATTAATATTTATGTAGCTGTACCATAATCTCAAAGATCAGTTGAATGTTCCAGGTCCTTCCTCTGCGTGATAAACCATTAACATTTTTCGCAGATGAATCTTCACACACTTCTTGCGAACTTGTATTTCATGTGCAAAGGAAAGGAAAAAAATCATTCCATTTTCGTCTAAATATAGAGCATGAGTGGAGAGTTCTTAACTATGAAGCGCATTGGTGCTAGGAGAACATTCTGCTCTTTTGCAATCACGTTTTGAATCCTCGTGTAATTTATTTAAAGAATCTGATGTGTACACCACATGACTTCCTTGTACGGAATAATTAAATTATACGCATTTTTCTTGCATTTCATTTAAACTTATTGGATTGAATTAAATCCACTTCGCCGACAGCGCATAAACCACAGTAGAATAAATGCATTCTTTAAAATTCACTCTAGTATTTGTTTACCATAGCGACACTCTGGCGCTAGATTCACTTAACAGTATTATATTTCGTTCATATTATAACTCATAATGCACAAAATTTATATCATTTAAAGAATAGAATTATCTAATCGTTGCCACATGTTCTATTCAAATACTATAATAAAGCTAGAACGAGGTATAAAAGAAATTAAGCACAAACAAAAAAGAAACAGTTTTTCACAGACGATTGAGTATTTCTCATTCAATTAATTCAGTTCAAACTTCGCGAGAAGGCTAAAATACATAAAAACTCAAAATATCTGTATTAAAAATTACGAAGTAAATCTTAAACACTTATTTCCTCGAAAAAATTCCAGAAAGGATTAAGCATGATTTAATTGGCAATAATAAATGAAGGCGTTATCTTTGTTGTTGCGAAGCTAAGTTTCTCTAGATTGGCAAAAATTCACTAGTCTGCTGTTACAA